AAACATGGCACAAGTTCATGAAGTCACTGACAAGTGGTCTGAGTCATGTTGATAGGTATAGACTACCTGGTTGGGGACCGCGAGATGATAGCAACCGATGGTTAGAAACCGTGAATGACATGGCTCAAAATCGTTTGCAATGGCGCAGGTGCATCCACTCTTTGTGTTCTCCCAAATTCTAATCTTCTGAATTCTTCAAGTCCCTTTTTTCCTCTTTCCAAATTTATTTCACTGAATTATATTCTTTAAATAACATCTCCAAACCCTAATCTTCCCGATCACTGCTTACACTTTTGCTACCTCTACCACTACGGGATTTGGATCGACAAATGCATCTCTGTGTTAAGGTGGTGTGGCAACTCGAACTGATGTACGTACGTACGAAGTTCTGCGTTGTTACTGACTGACTGAGTGACTGGTCAAACTCACGGTCACCCGGAGTAGACAGACGGGCCTCGATGAGTTGTAAAGAGCTTGAAGAAACCCAGTGCTTATAAGCGTGACGTTTCGTGAACCCACAACTGACTGTACCCGCCATTTTCATGGCGTCATGCCATTGCAACCAATGCTCATCTATACTTTTCGGTGGAATGGTAGCTAGCCTATAAGCTAGCTCGTTTTGATACTTACTAGCAACAGAAGTTGCAACCAACTTGCTGACATCAATCCGTTGGTGGCAGTCACTTCGTTGTCCACTGAAAAGGTAGGATTGCAGCAGACCAAAGCATGGTCAGAGTCCAGATAGGTACGGCAGTCTTGTACACAACCACGCCAGCGGTAGCTGATCGCGATGTGATCAATCTGAGTCTAGGCTTGAGATGCAGAGGGAGGACGCCAGGTGGCACATCGGTGATGACTGTGCCGAAAGTTAGTGCAAGCCAGAAACAGGTTGTGGTTTGTGCACAGTTGCAGTAGGCGGTCCCCGTTATCTGTCCTGCGACCAAGTCACCATCGGCCACCTATACGACTCTCTTCTGTGCCTAGACGCCCGACCTGAGCATTCAAGTCTCCGGCTAGTACTACGATATCTGTCGAACGCACTTTCTGAAAAAGAACAGATAACTGGTGGTAAAACTCATCCTTCATTGCATCCAGGCTGCAATCTGTCGGGGCATAGGCGGAGATGACGAAAAGACATCGTTTCTCACGCCGATTTCTTCTCACTTTGATGTAACTCTCTAATCTAATAGCACATAACCGACTGTTAATGGGGGTCCAATCGATTAGTGCTGCCTCAGCTCTAGCGCTTAGTGCGAAAATGCCACAGGGTCCCTGGATAAACGCACGTAAAACAAGCTTTTTGAGGCGACAGATGGAGAGCGAATTTGTAGTACTTCACCAGAGTCTTGAATACGGGTCTCGGATAGACAATGAACATCGATATTAAAACTTTCTAAAGACATAGCCATCTCTTTCTGTTGTCCAACCTGCATAAGTGTGCGAACGTTGAAGGCAGCCAGTTCGAATGGTGCACGTGGTTTCAGAAAAACTGATTCAGTATTCGTATTTGGTGGTAGCACACAATTTTCAACCAGGCAGTGACTCGAGAACGTTTAGATAGAACCGAGTCTCCACCACGGGCAAGCTGCTGTATAAGTTGAGAAATAAGGATACATAAAGTAAGAATAAAAAAGAGTGAATAAATAACAGAAAATAATAATAATAATAATAATAATAATAATATTAATAATAACAACAATAATAGTAATAATAATAATAATGATAATGTGGATCGTTTGATTATTGATCGAAGCAAGACAAGTATTTTCCATAAATATCGATATCTCATCAAATTTGTGTGTGGGCTGTGATACCACCAGGGTGCCCAGGCTGAAGCAGGAGGTTTTCCTAGAGGGTCACACCCCAAGGCTTTGACCTAAAGGTCTGACACACAAGGAAGTGGAAAATTGTGAGGAGATGCAGTCCCATGGTAGACGGCGACCAAGATTGTTTCATACGCCCTTTGTTCCCTCAGGATATTGGAGCCTATGTGCATCACTGGTTTGGGATCCGGTTAAAGCTCCTGACATTCGCTCTCCGTTCTCCCATTTTCGCAAACAACAACCCCGCAACCAGAAGGTACTGAGTGGGACTTCCCTGACAGAGACAGTATACGTGTGCTTGTTCATTTTTCTAATGTCTATCTCCATTTCTCGACGCAATGTGCTCTTTGGTCTTCCTCTTTTCCTTTGGCCTCGAGGATTCCAAGTAATGTGGGCTTGTGACGCAGTTCGATGCTTCCTTCAATGTGTGTCCTATCCACTTCCAGCACTTCTTCCTGATTTCTTCCTCCAATCGAATCTGGTTTGTTCTCTCCCACGATAGGTTGTTGCTAACAATGTCCGGCCAGCGGATCCGAATTATTGTGCGCAGACAGCTGTTAATAAACACCTGTATCTTCTGAATAATGGCTTTCGTAGTTCTCCAGGTTTCTGCCCCATTCAGTAGAACTGTCTTGATATTCGTATTGAAAACCCTGACCTTGATATTGGTTGACAGAGAGTTGTTTTGAGTTCCAGATGTCCTTAAGTTGTAAATATGCTGCTCTTGCTTTTCCGATTCGCGCCTTCACATCTGTATCAGATCCACCGTGTTCATCAATGATGCTGCCCAGATATGTAAAGGTTTTTAAATATTCCAAATCCTCTCCGTCAATTGTGATTCGATTGTTGCATGCTGTGTTGTATCGGAGAATCTTGCTTTTCCCTTTGTGTACATTGAGACCTACTGCTGCTGCCACACTGGTCGTCTTCTCCTGCATTTGCTGTTGCGTTTGCGATAGAAGAACCAGATCATCTGCGAAGTCTAGATCGTCCAACTGCGTCATAGATGTCCGCTGTATCCCGTACTTCCCTTCATGTCACCATCAGACAAATCAAGAGCGGCAAAGCAGCAGGACCAGACAACATTCCAGCAGAGGCACTGAAAGCAGATGTGGCAGTAACTGCAAGGATACTCCACATTCTCTTCAGCAAGATTTGGGGTGAAGAACAAGTACCAACGGACTAAAAAGAAGGACTTCTGATCAAAATGCCAAAGAAAGGCGATCCCAGCATGTGTGATAACTACAGGGGCATCACTCTTCTCTCAATACCAGGAAAAGTCTTCAACATGGTATTGTTAAATAGGATGACGGGCTCCGTAGACACCCAACTTCGAGACCGACAGGGAGGATTCCGTAAGGATAAATTGTGTACTGATCAAATTGCAACACTACGGATCATTGTGGAATAATCAATTGAATGGGATTGATCACTCTACATCAACTTCATTGACTACGAAAAAGCATTTGATGGTGTGGACAGAACAACACTATGGAAGCTCCTTCGACACTACGGCGTACCTGAGAAGATAGTCAATATCATACGGATTTCCTATGATGGATTAAACTGCGAAATCGTGCATGGAGGACAGTTGACAAACTCGTTCGAAGTAAAGACCGGTGTCAGGCAAGGTTGCTTACTCTCACCCTTTCTCTTTCTCCTGGTGATCGATTGGATCATGAAGACGTCAACATCTGAAGGGAAGTACGGGATACAGCGGACATCTATGACGCAGTTGGACGATCTAGACTTCGCAGATGATCTGGTTCTTCTATCGCAAACGCAACAGCAAATGCAGGAGAAGACGACCAGTGTGGCAGCAGCAGTAGGTCTCAATGTACACAAAGGGAAAAGCAAGATTCTCCGATACAACACAGCATGCAACAATCGAATCACAATTGACGGAGAGGATTTGGAATATTTAAAAACCTTTACATATCTGGGCAGCATCATTGATGAACACGGTGGATCTGATACAGATGTGAAGGCGCGAATCGGAAAAGCAAGAGCAGCATATTTACAACTTAAGGACATCTGGAACTCAAAACAACTCTCTGTCAACCAATATCAAGGTCAGGGTTTTCAATACGAATATCAAGACAGTTCTACTGAATGGGGCAGAAACCTGGAGAACTACGAAAGCCATTATTCAGAAGATACAGGTGTTTATTAACAGCTGTCTGCGCACAATAATTCGGATCCGCTGGCCGGACATTGTTAGCAACAACCTATCGTGGGAGAGAACAAACCAGATTCGATTGGAGGAAGAAATCAGGAAGAAGTGCTGGAAGTGGATAGGACACACATTGAAGGAAGCATCGAACTGCGTCACAAGCCCACATTACTTGGAATCCTCGAGGCCAAAGGAAAAGAGGAAGACCAAAGAGCACATTGCGTCGAGAAATGGAGATAGACATTAGAAAATGAGCAAGAATTAGATGGAACTGGAGAGGAAGGCCCAGGATATAGTAGGGTGGAGAATACTGGTCGGCGGCCTACTCTCCATTGGGAGAAACAGGCGTAAGTAAATAAGTAGAAATAATGTTGAATACTTTATGAAAGTAAATGTGCAAACAAGTTATCTGACTTAGGAAATTGACAATACAAGAACAGATGGATGAAATTAACAAGACGAATACCACGGTAATAAAAAAGTAGTAATAACAAAAATAAAAATAAGGCATGGAGGACATGATTAGGGGTTAAATCAGCAGAATAAACGGTATGCAGTAACCTAAGAGCTGAGCTAAAACAAGAAAAGAAGGCACGAGGACTGTTGTGATCATATTTAAGCCTGGTTATCCAACGTTGACAACTACTAACTATTCTAACCTGCTAGTGTATATTTACCAACAGAGCTCAATATAACTTTTAATGATTCCATTGAATATTGGTGCCTCAGTAAGGCTGAATATGGTTTTTTTCTAACCCACGTAAATCGTGTCAGCAGTTTTACTCCTATCGATAAATTAGCCGCTCTTATGGCTTTTCATTTAACATATTTACAGGGCATATGAGTATGGCTCATACTAGGAGTGTGAGGACTAATCGTGCTGTCGGATCACCCAACTCAGAATAGATGAAGTAGGGTTCGAGACAGAAACAAACAACCGAACACATTTACCATTATGCCGCAATTGTCCCTACATTCATTTACAATAAATTGAACTGGAAATAAAAAGCAAGCAGTGAAAATTATATTAAAAGTCAGTCAAATAATTGAATATGCAAATAATGATAATAAAAACAATCCATTCAAAATATTAAACGAATACAACAAGAGAAATCACAAATATCAGTTTACCTTTTTAGGAAACAAAAGAGAAAACATAAAATATACCGAAAAGCATTCTGCATTTTTATACTTCACACACAGACACAATTTGAAAACAAACAAATGATTTGATTAGTAGAGATAAATACAGAAATATGCATATATATATATATATACATAATAAAATTCTACACTCTCCTGGTTATCATTTGTTCCATATGCATCTTTTATAATGCAACCATAAAACAACAAGTAATGATCATCAAGAAATAATATGTAATGAGTGCAAATAATTAATCAGTTCAGTGATGCATAAGTTGTCATGTATCAGTATCAATAGAGAATATGATCATGACTAATTGATAATTAGATAAGATAGTCTGCCTCATTGTTTTAATTTCTTCAAAGTGGCGCATTCGACATACAAAATTAAGAACGAAACGATACATCTCATAATCGCAAAATTACAGAAGAGGATGTAAGATCAAAACAAAGGTTGAGTGTGAAACAGATAACAAAGACAAATCAAGCTTACAGGTAGTTGAAAAAGTGTGAGAGACATAACAAAGACAGACCAGGCTTACAGGTAGTTGTTAGACTGACATAGGGTAATATGAAAGTACCATGCCGTCCACTAATTAAAAGTTTCTTTCGAAAATTCACTCTACATTGGTTCGAACAAATGAACAGCGTGATGTAAAACGCCATTAACAACGAATCGGGTGCGTAAAAAATACTGGTTTGTAGTTGTCTTGAATCGAATTACATTGCATTTCTGTTTCATAATATGACAATAATCACAAGAGAAAAGGAGAACAACGCGAATCTAACTAAGAGAGATTATGTATGAATAGTTAGCATAAGGAGGATGGAGGCAGTGGCAACGGTTCTCTTAGATGCAATTTTCAGAGAAAAAATTAGGCAACATCAAGTAAGAAAACAAAGAGAGGCACAAACTTGACTAAAGAGGGAAGCACAATGACTACGCCTGTGTGTACGATTCGGATCACACAAAAAAAAGAATACTCATCGATCTGAACATGAGAAAAAAAGAGAAAAAACAACTCAAATACAAATATTAACATATATTACATAAGTCAGCTTCCCTACACTGGTAAACTAATGAGAAGAATATGCACGGTCATTCATGTGCGAACACAAAAATTAAAACAAGCGAAAAAATCAGGGCTGAGATTCAAAACGAAGGAAAACGGAGTGAACAGTCAAAATCATAAGAGATTCTATTGTCTGTTTGTGTGTAGTTGTGAATAGTAAATATCAACCGGATAATTAGAAAAGATGGTTGTGTCACCACAAACACAACGACCTACACACACACATTTGTATAGGATCGTGTTGGTGAATGTGGCGACCAGTCAGTCGATCGATAACGAGTAATTGTGAAAATAAATTAATTATACAGAATAATAAGCTCACAAACACACAGTCTCGCCCACTTGTATGTTTACTCTATGGAAGCATCCACGACAACAACTAGAGCAATATTATCCCAATATTAAACTAATTCACATGAACTATGTTTCTTTTTCTTTCCTTCGGGCATGAGTACTGCTCGAATAGCTTCGTCGAAGACATCTTTTAATCCAAACTGAGTTAAAGCAGAGCATTCCAGATACTTCACAGCTTTAATTTCTCTTGCCATTCTACAACCCTGAATAATAACAATGGTCAATAAAAAAAATAATCAAATGACAATTTAAAGCCTAAAATAACATCATACTGTCACTACTCATGGCAAAATTCTGCTAAGTGAAAAAAAACATTTACTGAATACTGAGAATATGTGCTGACAATTACGTATTGCGCTGAGTATATAACAAACAATAAAGTGCTTATAATTGTTAGTTATCTTGTAAAAAAAACACTAACTACTTTATACCCAGTCCAACCAAGTCCGTAACTGTCATTTATATATGTTACTAGGGATTAGATGTCGTGATGACTCAGTCGAGTTACGTCACTTAGAACACTGGTTTCTCTCAATTTTCATCATGCCAATCAGGTCGGTATAGGGGTGTGACGGAATAAGTTGTGTCTCAGAAAACCAGCATTTGGAGCGATGCTCCAATCCCACAGCAAAAGGAGGTCAGGAAGGATTGACCCTAAGAGTAACACATCTTACGGGTGATACACCACGAATCCCAATCGCGGACAGTAACACTTCTAAAACTACCTGAAGAAACTGTAACCAGACACTCATACAGATTGTTTCTGTACGCTGTGGTCATGCTTCCACATTGTCAAGACCCTCATTAGTTGTTATAACCTCTTTCTTACGGTTATGACCCAGCTATTCCTATTGCTTAGTATTCTCGGACACCGATTCACTCGACAGGTCCCCAAATCAAAACACGGTTGAACAGGAAAGAGATTATATTCCAAATAACAAGGTGAGATGGAAGCAAGAAGCCAGTTGGAAGCACAATAGGGAAAACGTCAGTGTATTTATAGTTTTTACATGAGAAGATTGTAGAGTATTCTCCAACTATCGACTAGTGCTGATTGGATGGGAATTAGCCAATCAGCGTGCATCGAAGCAATTGAGCTTGCTTTAATCCAGTCTATGTCCCACTAACATTAGTCCAGTTTAATGTACAGGTCTCTCAAGAAGTATCGTTCGACGATGTGGGAAACTGAGAGACAACAACTGTTCTCGTAAATCCAACACCACTTGTTTACAACAAAATTCCTCCATTTAGTTAACCTATCGGATAGTTATCGGCTGTTTTGTATCACTCACGATCAGACACTTCTGCGAATTCAGAAACTTTTCCTTCGAAGTAAAACAAACAGAAATTTGAAATTTGTGCTTCGAATATATTTCTAGTTCATGTACGCTTTCATCGACACAAAATCAAATGTTAAAGGAAAACTATTTAAATGCATACTAATTACTGAAACAATCAACAGCAGAACTACAAGCGTTTCACAATACAATATACGGACAATCAATCTAATAGCACCTAATAGACAAAAAATCATAATATTATGTAGTAAGTTACACAATGCAGAGTATCTCGGTCAAACCGAAAGACAAGTTCCTCTCGAGTTCACAATCTGACTGCATATGTTATGAATCTATATACAAAGAGCAAACTACGAACGAATCAACATCAGAAAAAGCCACCAAAGAACTTCACAGAACTCAAGAAATGTTCAATCACATTGTAATCTCAGGACACTGAGTCAATATTCAATGATGACCGACTTATTCACGAATACTTCAGAAAGTATAAAGAATAGCTTTCGGTGGAACCATTTTGCAAAAATGGAATAGAAGTTGAGCGACGAAATATATCGGTTCAAAAAAGATTTGACTTGACAACTTTAGCTAATACGGTATACATACGCGTAACAAGGATTGTACAGATATAGTCACAATTAAAGGGACTTTAAATTTGATTAAAACAACGTACTTTACATATCACTCATACCAGTTTTGTACCATTTAACAAATGAAAGTCTATCTCCGAGAATAACTGGTTTAGTTATCTGCAAGCCTGGATATTGGTAATCCAAATATTCTACTATTTCCATTAAACTATTTCTCCGGGCAAAACACATTAAACAACCATGAGCGAAACGTGTATATGCCTTACTTTGTATTCCAGTAGTCGTCACGAACTTTCTAGCATTAAATAAATAAACTCACACTGTGTGAATGCTAATGACGCTATCCGGTTTCCTAAACCGAAAAAGGCGGAGAGGGATAAGAACTAAGGAGTCTGGCGAATTAACCTTTAGCCACAGCTTTAGCAGTAAAACTGTAGTAGATATTCTGTAGTAGAGTTATCAATCATACAATGGATGTCACCGACTTGACACTAGGTGGCAATATAAACCAGTAACCACAACAAGGTTTCGGAATTGACCACTTATTTACACAGTTGAGGTCAAACTCTACTACACATTTTTGTTAAACGTCAGGCACAAAACGATACAACCTGTCAATGTAACAGAACAGATGTACTGAAAGTAAAATGAATTTGATGAAATATACCCAAAGTTTACAAATAAGATCAAAATATAGAGAATTATTTCCATTTCATTTTTGTGTAGCTGCTTACTTCACATTTAAAATATACAATATACATAGACCTAAATAAATCTTGACTATACTGTTTTCCTTGATCACAACAGTTATTGAGGTAATATAAAAAGTTGACGTTTATAAGCGTTTTAGGAATACACACGATGAAGCAACACGTGCAAAATTCTTTACAAATAATAGACGACTTTACAGACTATTGACAGGATAAAGCGATAGCTTAATAATTAAGGCATTCGACATTCAACTACTGGCATGCAAGTTCTAGCCTAGTAAATTTGAACCAGGGTTTTTCAACTCTCTGGTAAGTTTTACCAACAACCTGTTCTAAACGCTGGACATTCGCTCTTCGCTTTCCCGACATTTTAAACACTCGTACCGCGAGAAGGCAGAGTAGTTCTCTGACAGTGGTTATTTATGCGTGACCAGATGAGAACATTTTGAGTAGAGCGGACTCTTCACCTTGGCTTTAAACCATCACTTCAATACATGTGTAAGCGATCACGAATGTTTATCTTATTTCATGTGTCTAGCAACAAACTTAAAGACATGACATTCTAGTCAGTTCAAACGTACACTTGGAGTATTACTCGATTATATACTTGCATTAAAATAATGACTGTAACCTTTCATATCAAGTATAGTTAATAAAACTATGTGAACTATTTGTGAAGTAGCAACTAACCTCTGCATATGTTACTGGAAACGTTGTGGATTTTAGCCCGTTAGGACTATCACGAAGGTCCCGTTTCGTTCCAACAAGAATAATGGGAGCTCTAGGAACATAAGCGGATATCTCCGGATGCCATTTGCTACGAACATTCTCGAATGATGTACGACTGACCAAGGAAAAGCACACCAGAAACACATCAGTTTGTGGATATGAGAGTGGTCGTAGTCTGTCATAATCCTCCTGACCTAAAGATAATATACGTGTTAATACAATCACGGACTTGAGAGTATTCAAATATATTTATACTTACCGGCTGTATCCCACAAACCAAGGTTCACAGGTTTCCGGTCAACCATTACGTTAGCAGAGTAGTTATCGAAAACGGTTGGAACGTACTCACCGGGAAAAGCATTTGTCGTGTAGCTGATGAGTAAACAGGTTTTTCCGACAGCACCATCACCAACAACTACACATTTAATGGCTTGCATGAGTAGCAAGAAGTAAAAATGTAATGGTTCGCGTCTAGCCGAAAGGTATTTTGTGTGTTAGGGGAACATACAACGTAGTGTGAGTGAGGAGGGCTGGAAAGAAAAAAAAGATTAAGATTAGCACATGACCCAGTAATCGAGGACAACACACTTACATTTAATAGGGAAAGCAGTCGAAAATAAGCAGAAAAAATACGAGGGTTAGACCAGTACAATCCAATAACCGGAACTAAGACTACACAGTTCAACAAATTACGCACAAACCTAAACCGAAAACCAATTAACATCCGCGGTTACTGAAATCGTGTCCGTTAGAACAAAGTATTCCACCATGTCTGAAGTGAGACTAAAAACCACCGCAAATAGCTATTGTTATCTTCGACTTTTTCAGTCTTAATTAATGCTTTTAAACGTGAGTTCATGACTCTACTTATGCTACACGTCGAAATTGGTATACTTTGAAAAAAAATTACCAAACGAAGAGAATATGATCAATCAGTGATGATTTTATACTTCGACTTTAGCAAGGCTTTTAGTACTGCATCATGCAACCCTCTATTAAAGCTTTTCTCACTTGGCATACGAAATTCTCTATTATCCTGGTTCAAATATTTTTCAGCAGAACGTAGCCAGATCGTTCGCTCTGGATCCAACTACTCTAAGCCTATGGATATTACCAGTGGCGTTATACAAGAAATTCCAATTAGCCAATTACTCTTGCTCCTCTTCATTATTGATGTTCGCCCACTATTTCAATTCGGTAAAGTTTTCCTTTTTGCTGCTGACCAACCATGGTTTATTCATTTTCGTCTTCCAGCAAAGAAAGTCATATTTAACGGTAACTGATGGAGACATGGGCAATTAATATGAATGGATCGCGTCACAGAACCTATCGCTGAATTTTGATAAAGGCAATTTCATTTGCTTTGAACTCAGTACTAACTTAGATCTGGTTACACACTGATGTGTTGGCGAGGAAAATAAGGAATGCTTGTTTACTTAGTCGGACTAGTAGAAGGTCTGACATGTATTAGATGTGTCTTGTCTTTCCCTACCCTTATTATTACAGTGATTGTGATCGGATTTTGGTGTCAAAATTTACTTACGTTCTAGTCGGGCCAGTCGTGTGTTGTCTATATGAGTTGTGTTGAAGTACTGTAGAATTATGGTCTGCTTCGTTATTAGTGCTATTATAATAATAGCCTTAATCCCAAAATTGTGACTCCCTAATCTATAAGATCTTACGTGAAAATCACATTATTGTCTACGCTGACTCATCGTAACAATTAATAATATAATACCCACTACTTCTGAAAAACACATTTAGGCTGAAGATAGGATAATATATTAAATGTGAATAATGACAAGTTATACAAAATGACCACGTATACAAGGCTGAGCCAAGCCATCCGATTTAATTGATTGATTCTTCCCGTCTTCCTCATTGTTAGCCTTCTGTTAGTATTAAATGTTGAATATCTATTTTCCCATTTATTTCATGATCGTCTTTGACGATTTTGTGGTTAAGACCAATATCAATATAGGGATTCTTCCCCTTACGTTAGATTTACCCTTTGTTGTCCTGCAACAAAATACAAATATGCACCAATAATAATGATTTTCAATACTGGTATATAACAGTGAGCTGAACTCTACCGAGCATATTTTATGTGAAATGTCGAGATCAAAAAAGCTCATGTGACTCATGATAATTTTCAGCAACACCGAATTTAGATTATTATGATTATATAGGAACCCAACCTACCTATCACTGAATATGCTGTTTTATTTTTTGGGTAATTGAATGCAATTACTTGATGAAAACTGGATGATTTCAGTGAAGATTTACTAAAGCTCTCTCAGGTTAACCAGCAGAGAGGATCATCACCAGCGATGTAAGCAACTCAAGTATATACCTCTGTAGTGACTTACATTTATCATAAGAACACGACTGATTTAATAAAAACAATTATTATTATAAACAGTTGTACCAGTGTTTGTTTCAATGTGCTTTTGTTTGACTGTGCTAATGACAGCTATATTGGACTTCCATTCTTGTTCTTAACCTTCGATTGTAACTTCGCGCGAATTCGGTTACCTTCTGTAACCAAGCTTGTATCCTGGCACGATCTCGGTATCCTTTCGATACCACGAGATCGCCAGTGAATAAATCTTGACTTGGTCCATTTTCCGCCTTCTGATATTTGGCTTCTCGATGTTTTTATGGAGTCATTTGGAACGAGCTTCTTGGTAATGGTGTACATAGTTAATCCCAACTCCGACGCCACGCTACACCTCTATGGATCGGGTACATTAGGTTAATTCTTTCATTACATACCATGCCATTGTCTACTTTGCATGTAGCTCTTCTTAGTCTTTTGCAGATCTCAAGCCCAGGTAAAGGAGGAGGGTCGACCATGGAGTTAGTAGCTTTATCCCGTAGAAACTAACACCGTGCTGACGATAAACAACAACCAGAATTATTTTAATCCTACCTCGGGATTTGAGGGATCCTCATTCGAAGAATTATAACTCCTCGTGGAGAATTCCGAGATTCTTCGGAAGTCTTGAATTAGATAACTCTTCTAACAACAAGAACAATAATTAATGCAGGTACATGAAATGTCCAGACGACGTGGAGGACTGAAAGGACTAGTCAAGTATCTGAGGAAGTGTAGAGGTGTAGTGGCATGGGGCCCTAATACGAGACAATATGAAAAATAGACATTCGACATTTAACACGGAGAAAAACCCAACGATAATGAGGGCAGGAAGAAGGAGTTGAATCAATTGGAGTTGGTCGAATGGTATGGCTCGGCCTTGCAGGCGTGGTCCTTGTTGAATGTTATCTTATATCTTTTATTCATATTAAATATATTGTACTATCTCTAGCCCAAGCCTGTTCTACATCACGTATTAGTGATTGTTACGATACGATGAGTTGGTTTAGACGATGTTATGACTTCTACGTAAGATCTTATAGATTAGGTAGTCTACAATTTTAGGATTAGGTCTATTATTAGCGCAGTACTAATAACATAGTAGACCATAATTCTACAGAGGTACAACTTGACTATGCTTGAAATGTGTTACACCCATTGGACACGTGCTAGACAGAAACGATTGGGTTCGGGAGAGATGCTGAGGAAGACAATGCTTCACATATAGGAGTTTGTGTCGGCATTATCCGATCATATCGCCGGACATAAGCTGCTCATTCCATTCCAGAACCGAAATCTGAATATTTTCATCTTATGTTCTGATTATTCCTGGTCAGAGGACACTTTTCGTACCTGGGGCTGTTGTTATCACAGACCCAAGTTCATGTATTTAATCGAGTTATGTAATGAATCCAACATCTCACAGGTTCACGTTGAAATTTTGAAATTCACATTCAATCTTGATGCTCATTTGTTCTCAAGCTGTCTACATCATGTCTGTTTCCTTCCTAATTACCAGTACACTCTGCGAGACCAAGCATTTACGTAGAAATGAACATTTGTTTCATGTAAATAAACACTTTTTTGTATCTGATTACTTTATACGAACAGCGGAGTAATTTCTCTCGGTTGACTAACCACACAAAAGGCTACTTGTCAAACTAAAGTCCTTCGGAATACACAACCCACTGTACTCATGGTTTGCTTCGTTCTTAACAGAACGTAAACAGATGGTAAAATACAATGACTGTCTCTCGTCACCTAGACCAATCACTAGTGGATTCATCCAGGGAAGCGTATCAGGTCCACTTTTGTGTTCTTAGGCCTTCCGCTTTTCCGCTTCCCTTCAGGATTCCAAGTTAGTGCCTGTCTCGTGATGCAGTTTGACGATTTGCGTAATGTATGTCCTATCCATTTCCATCCTCTTTTTCTAATTTCTTCTTCAGCTGGAAGCTGGTTTGCTCTCTCCCACAGTAGGCTGTTGCTAATGGTATCCGACCAATGGATATTGAGTATCTTGCGTAGACAACTATTTATAAATACTTGTACCTTCTTGATAGTGGTTGCAGTAGTTCTCCAAGTTTCAGCTCCATACAGTAGAACTGCCTTGACGTTCGTATTGAAGAATCTTACTTTGATATTGGTTGAAAATTGTTTTGAGTTCCATATGTTCTTTAACTGTAGGAATGCTGTCCTTGCTTTGCCAATCCTTGCCTTTACGTCTGCATCTGAACCTCCCTTTTCATCGATGATGCTTCCTAGGTATGTGAAGGACTCTACATTTTCCAGAGTTTCGCCATCAAGAGTGATTGGATTGTTGTTTTCCGCTTTGAATTTGAGGACTTTGGTTTTCCCTTTGTGTCTATGCTGAGGCCTACTGATGCAGAGACTGCTGCTACACTGGCTGTCTTCATCTGCATCTGTTCGTGTGTACGTGATAGGAGGGCTAGGTCATCTGCGAAGTCCAAATCGTCTAATTGATTTCGAGCTGTCCATTGAATTCCGTGTTTTCCTTCAGATGTCGAGGTCCTCATAATCCAGTCGACCACCAGAAGGAAGAGGAGGGGAGTGTCGAAGAAGTTTCCATAATGTCCTCCTATCCACACTGTCGAATGCTTTTTCATAATCAATGAAGTTGATGTATAGTGATGAGTTCCACTCAACTGATTGTTTGACGATGATCCGTAGTGTTGCAATGTGATCTGTGCACGATCGATCCTTACGGAATCCAGCTTGTTGATCTCGAAGTTGGGCGTCTACTGCATCTTTCATCCGGTTCAGCAACACTCTGTTGAAGACCTTCCCTGGTATTGACAGCAGTGTAATGCATCTGTAGTTTTCACATTTGCTCAGATCTCCTTTCTTTGGAATCTTGACGAGGTGCCCTTCTTTCCAGTCCATCGGCACTTGTTCCTCTTCCCAAATCTTTTTGAATAGAAGGTAAAGCATGTTTGTAGTTGCTTCGATGTCTGACTTCAGTGCTTCAGCTGGTATGTTGCCCGGACCCGCTGCTTTCCCGTTCTTGATTTGTCTGACGGCCATTCTGATTTCTTCCTTCGT